GATGGTGAGGGGAATAGAGAGATGATGGAGGAGGGAGGGAGAGGGGAGAGACACAGGGAAAAGGGGAGGGGAGAGATGGGGAGAGGGGAGAGACAGAGAAAGGGGGGCAGAGATGGTGAGGGGAATAGAGAGATGGTGGAGGGGGAGGGATAGGGGAGAGACACAGGGGAAGGGTGAGAGATGGGGGGAGATGGTGAGGGGAATAGAGAGATGGTGGAGGGGAGGGAGAGAGAGATTGGGGAGAGGGAGAGACACAGGAAGGAGAGATGGGAGAGGGGAGAGACACAGAGAAAGGAGGAGAGATGGTGAGGGAATAGAGAGATGGTGGAGAGGGAGGGAGAGAGATGGGGAGAGGGGAGAGACAGGAAAGTTGGGAGGGAGAGAGATGGAGAGAAGAGAGACACAGGAAAGGAGAGATGGCTGGAGGGAGAGAGAGAGATGGGGAAAGGGGAGAGACACAGGGAAAGGGGGGGAGATGGGTTGGAGGGAGAGACACAGGGAAAGGAGGGGAGATGGGGAGGAGGGAGAGACACAGGGGAAAGGGGGTAAAAGAGGCAGAGGGGGAAGAGAGACACAAAGAGGGAGAAATGAGAGAGACACACAAGGGGAGGGGAAGAAAGAGGCAGAGGGGGAAGAGAGAGACTGGGAAGGAGAGGGGAGACATTGACACAGAGAAGCAGAGGGGGAGAAAGAGAGGACCCGGGGCAACGCTCCGGCTCTCACGAGGTGAACTCTAGCCCTGGAGCTACGGGCTAGAGTTCACTCTCACCACTTCCTGGTGGTCGCAGTAGTAGGATTGAACTCTAGCCCCATACACACACTGCCCACACACACACCATACACATTCACACACTGCCCCCCCACACACATTCACACACTGCCCCCCCACACACTGAACCTTTAACACACATTGCACCCCTCACACATATCACCACTGCTCCTATACCCTACTACAGCCCCATATCCCAGCAGACTCCAGGTAAGTTGTCAAACTGTTCTTAAACGGTTTGACTACTTACTCTGGGAGGGGGTGCCGACACTCCTGGCACCATAACCACTACACAGAGGCACTGGATCCGTCACTGGTATATGACATGTATATTAATGTGTATATTAGTTGTGTGTATATATATATATATCTATATATATATATCTATATATCTATTATATTTACACATATTAATGTAAATTTATATATGCATAATACACAGAGAAATTTCGTTAATATGTACCATATGTAATGAGCAGATATTAGCCCAGTCTTGTTGCTAGGTGCATACTCCAGCACAATAACATATTTAAAGTGAAGAGCACACCCACAGGACTTCAAAATAAAAAATTTTTACAGTTGTGCCCTACATACATTCACCATTTCAGTCCCATTAACAAGCTTTCCTTTAAATGTCAAAGTGGTTGGACTGAAACATTGATTACATGCAAAGGCAGGTCTGCTTAAAATAAATCTGCACTTTTTTTTATTTTGAAGCCTATGAGTGCGCTTTTTACGTTGAAGTTCTTTTTAATTTTAAGTTATCTGTTCTAACTCTGTATCTGCACACTTTGCTGGCGCGACGCATTATGGGGCTGGTAAATATTTTTTTTCCAGGGTTGCTTTTAATTCCCAGTCTGGCCCTGGATATATGTAGATCCGGAACATCAGAGTGATGGGGAAAGTATAAGGAGCTCAGGAGTGACTGGTTATTAAAACAGAATCTTTATTAATAAACAGAATGAATAAAACTATTTAAAAGTGAACTATATAGTAAAAAGAACTATAAATAAAACCAGTCCTTGTAGGCAATCCTTAATCTCCATTTAACATATTTCGCTTGCAGCTTTCTCAAAATTGAATCAAAAAGTGAAAAGCTCCATATACTAGAGCAGGTCATTGCTCTAGCAAATGTAAGTAGGTCTAATATTATATAATTATCCTACTTTTACATACGCTCTGGAAAACGTGAGTGCCCCTTTGGAATATATCTTTATCACCATATTATTCATAATATACTGCACTATCATTGTACTTTTATTTCCATTTTTTTAAGAGTAAGAAACATAATTGCGAAATTTGCTGCTACCTTTATATGTATGATTTTATTATAATAATTTTTAGCACTGTCCACCTTATTTACTAGCTTGGAATGATGTTATATCCATGCTCCAGGCATCACCGTAGAGAGCTTGCGAGGTAGCAAAAAAGAGCAGGAAAAGCATAATTCACTGGCATATGCACACATTCAGTGTCAGACACACACACTAGCTGACAGACATACACATTCACTAACAGATATACAGATTCACTGACAGAAACAAACTCTCATTAACAGATACACACACACTGACACAGAAATGCACACTCACTGAAAAACACATATACACTCTCAAAGAAAAAAATGTTACCTGCGCTATCTCCTTAATCCCAATGTCAATTTAGACAAACGGAGGTCATTTAGTTACTCCAATGGCCATTGGAGGGAATGCCCGTCTGCCAACGTCAAGGCAGACCCCCCTAAGCGGGTCCTAACACTGACCCTTCAGCCTGCTTCCTTGAGCTTCTGGCAAAGATATCTCTAATGAGACAAAGAGGGGTATTTTTTATATACACCCCTATATACTTATTAACCCTTAATAGGGAACACATGGGATGGGCGGCAGCATTGTAACAAAGTGGGGGACACAAAAAGTGAATACAAATACAAAAAGATAAAAAGATAAGTCCTGTGTGTGTAATTTTTGGATTTTATTATCAAACTAGGCAAAGTGGAAATGGATCCTTGACAAGTGACCAACATCCGTACATGGCCCATACCACAAAACAAGAAGAAAATCCAACAATTTGTGGGATTTGCTAATTTTAAACGGAAGTTCATCCATAACTTTTCCAAAGTACCAAAGTAACCCAGCCTTTCACTCATTTTACCAAGAAAGAAACAAAGTGTAAGTGGACGATCTAAACATCCTATTCACCCCTGTACCTATCCTTCATTTACCTGATCCAGAAAAACCTTACTTCCTCGAAGTTGATGCATCCGACTTGGCTACGGAAGCAGTACTATCACAGAGAGACAGCTCAACCGAACGGTCACACCCCATAGCTTTTTATACTCATAAGTTGATCGAGGCAGAATTAAATTCCGATGTAGGTGATGAAGAACTACTGGCTATTAAAACAGCACTCGAAGGGGGCGGGGCCTGACAGCCAAGATGGCCGGTCGCACTTAGTGAGAGCTCCAGCACCAGCAGGCACAATTAAGCCAGGACCGATCGAGAAACGGGAGGATGTCTGTCTTGACTCGGTATGCCACGAGAGTGCCTGGGCTGGCCATGCGGCCTAACCTGGAGCGGGGCCTAGCATCTAGGGGAGGCGGCCGATCCCCCAGCGTGGGACATGCTCACCCACAGGAATTCAGCATAGCCCTGCTATGGGGGATATCCCGGTCCTCGCTGGGGACGATTACCCCCACAATACAGCCTGCAACACAACAGACTCGTAGTACCCCTGGGACTGCCGTCAGAGCTGAGTCCAAGCAACCCGAGGAGAGGGCGAAAAAAACAGCTAATAACCACTCTGAACAAGCGGATTACTCAGCTAGGCTAGAAGCGATCTTTGAAGCTTTCTGGCACAAGCTTGAACGGCGCACACAACAAAATGCTGAGAAACAACAAGGAATCTGCTCCTCAAAGCACCCACGAGGAGGTCATAAAATGGCCGCTGCGAACAAGCCCCAGGACCAACGATGCCTCCCAACTTTGCGCAGCAAACAGCGGTCTCAAGCAACTGCCCGGAGCAACGAACCTCCTTCAGGGCAGGGAGCCCGACAGGACCACAGTCAGTCCCATTGTCCACACACCAGGAGGGCCTCCAAGAAAACGGAGTTCCAGAAGGCACACGGCCCAACCAAGCATGGAGGAGCAGCACAGGGACACTGGGCAGTGATTCCCGCACTAAACGGGACGAGGGGACCTGATCGGTCATTGTACCACCGCAACAACCTGCCAAGACACCTGCTGGGGTATAATCAACAACTGACACCTGCACTGCACAGAGGATGCCACGCGGAGACACCCCCAGCATGGCCCGCAAGACGGATCGGCTGACTGGCACTGAGAGCAGCCACTCGCAATGCGTGCAGAGTCCAGAAACAATCAGGACAATTCAAACTAAGATGCAGAAAGCAACCTCCAGTGAGACATGTACCAATGGTTGATTAATATGTACCCAGAATAGATATGTGTCAATGACTAATTATTAGGTGCCCATAATTAATTTGACCCTATGATGGATATGTGCCAGCAATTAACATGATATCCATACCTGTTTTACCACGATACTAGCGTTTGGCAGTGTGATTCCCCTCTCCACTATGCAATAGCTATCCTCTCCGCAAAAGCTAGCAACTCCTATATGCCAGACTCACTCTATATTCTCTTAGGAATATTAGCTGATGGGAAAGTTTAGGCACCTCTCCCCACTAATAAGCTACCTACAACCCAAGGCTCAGACATGTAAACCCAAGCAAAAGCGATGCAGAAATAATCACTGCTATGAGACCTAGGGGTCACTTCACCTTCACCTTACCCTCCATGTATTTGACTAATCTTGTTATTATTGGTGGCAATCAGTATCAGTGCCTACGATATGTAATCGCTATAACGAAACTGGTTTTAGTATCACTCATACGCACTGTATAGTTTCCATCATTGTTCTTTCATGTTATTTTAAAAAAAAAGTGCTGTACTGCTGACATTTCACGACAAT